AGAAATATTTGTATGGCTTACATTTATTCCTCTCGTGAGTTTGGGTGTAATTTGTGGTTGTCTATGTGTGTGTCCATGGCACCCGCGACTCAGGGTTTCCCTAGTGAGAGGCTATGTTGAGTGTGTGCGTTGTGTGTGCGTTATTATACGACCAAAGCAAGGCAAGAGTTGAATGAGTGGAGTCGAATAAAACGGATTCATCCTCTAATTTTTCACTCTTAGGGGTGGAATATACTTTAAATTTGAATGAGACGACTACTGAAGTACCCCTTTCCAACAAAAAAACTCATCAAAATTGTAACATGTAGAATAGAATAGAAATCTTTTATTACTACGCCACAACAAAAATATACACAGTAATAAAAAAAAGATGAAGCTACATTAAAACAAAAAATTAGAATAAAAAAAACTGGAAAAAAAAGGAATAAAAATAAAATCATACACAACAACAAAGCAAACATGAAATATTTAACACAATTAGATTAAGTGTCATGTGCGCGGCTGTGGCGTATGTAACAGGATCCCACTCAGCTATTGTCACCACCGAGAAAAGGCTGTGACGCTGATTTTCAGTGGGCCCTAAAACCGAGTGAGTACCGGTATTTAAAAAATACCGACCTCAAAAGTTCGTGGAATCACATCTATTTGCCAAGTTTTATTGAAATCGGTTACCAGAAAGTGCGCAAACCCGGGTTCATCCCCCAGTTTGCCACCCTTAGAGATGGAATTTTTTCTTTAAATTTAAATGTGACCAATACTGAGTACCCTTTTTCCAACAAAAAAAAAGAATTATCGCGTAACATAAATACAAAAAAGAAAAAAAACAGTCGAATGGAGTACCTCCTCGTTTTTATATACGATACGCTAAAAGATCGCTAAAAAGAACTTCAAACGGGATTTATGTGAACAAAATTTCAAGTTTCAATAAATGTAATGTTCTTTGTTTGAGAACAAAAAGATTGGTATTCGTAGAATTGTATTATGGCTTGTTATCCCTTTTTTCAATAAGGGTGGCACCACACTTATCCACAGGGAATCGCATTTAAAAAAATGTCCATATAATAAATGCGAAAAAACCGTTGTGCGTTTCACGTCGGGGGTTATGGCATCGACATAAAACCTTGATGACTTAATGCGATTCCCTCAGTCTTATTAAGTATGTGATTAAACGACGCAAACTAGTTTCGTTTTCACCTGTGAGTTTGATTTGATACGGTTATCAAATTAAACTCACAGTAAAGTCGAAGCCTAATGATAATGTTCTAGAAAAATCCAATGAACAATTTTCTAGGTTATGTTAGTCTTTTTATAGTAAACTTGCATTGGAAACGCACCTTACTATAAAAAGCAAGACATCAATTCATGTTTTACAACATAACCTATTCAAAGTATTTTAATATGGACCTTATTGAATGTCACCATCATCAGGATGCTTTACTATCATGATATTAAATCATTCTTGTGAAATTACTCCACTAGTTTGTTAATACTTAACAAAAAAACTGTTAAACTGATGTAAATCTCTTCGATCTGGTAAGACTTGAACCAAGGTATGTATGCTTAATAATAATATGATTTGGATAAAAACCTACTGTACCTTATTCCAACATATAATTTAATAAGATTATTATTATACAGTTATTATTACGCGTACTTTAATGACAAAAATCTATGGTTACTGATTCATTTAGCTACTTTAGATTGTCTCAATCTATAATATTATGAAATAAATATTGTAAATGATAAATGAAAAAAAAAAAAAGAATCTGCCTGACGAATGAATAGTAGAGGTTAACCAATGACGATTTCAAGTGTAATTTTCTTATCCATGAAATAATTTATTTGAATTTGAAATAGATTGATTTTAATTATTTAGTACAATATATTTTTTATTTTTCAAAATTAATAAATAATCAAATTTATTGTAATAATAAATAATGTTTTACTAATATTTAATTAATATAATTAGACTTAGTTATGCAAACTAGAACCAACACACAAAATGTCACTTTCGAGATAACACATTTTTGTAAAAACAGTATGAAGAAATAAATAGGTAATTATTTGAGACAAACAACGTAAGTTATGTGTAGCACTGAGAATGATATAGGGAAACTATTATAATAATATTTATTGCTATAAATAGAAAACATTGTGTATCTTTTTATTTAGTTAACGAGAACAATGTTCTAGTTTTGGTAATGAAAACGCTAAAGAACTACGCTATTTTGTGAGCGGGTAAAGGACACGTCTCTTGCTCTACCTAAATACATAACTCAATTTCACTCGAGGTGTGGGTTGGTTCTTGTTTGCATACCTATGTCCAATTGATAGAATTTTTTTTTTGTGAAAGTAATCCACTATAATTTGTTATAATTATTAGTACAAAGATCGGACACAAAGAAAACTTCCTTCAATCTGAAAGGACCTGACTCCTGTACCTGTTCGTGTCCTGTCAGATCGGAGGATTTTTTCTATGTTCCTCTATCTTTGTATTAGTAATTAAATCAAATTATTGTTTTAAATTAAAGGTTTGTTTTCAAATTATTGCCAATTTGTTAGTGGATTGATTTTAATAGACTATACTAAAGTATTTCATAATTATATATTATAATAAATTAAAGTTGTTGTATTTGACGGTTGTCAAACACAATAACTATGATATGATTTGCATGCAATTTGCAATTCAATTTTGGCAAAACGCTTACATATGATCCAGCGATTACGTCGTCAACAATTAGTCTCTACATTTTAAGTAAAAGTAAATTTAACTGTACTATATTATAAACATTATATTACGTATTAATAAAAATTTTATTGAATTGATATTCAATTATTTTTTGTGAAATTACTCCACTAGTACACACGACTAAAAAGTCGTTGAAAAACCAAATACAAAGACACGACGCAAGCACAGAGAAAAATTCGTGAGGTCCGTTGGTTCGTTCCGTGGCTTAGTTGGTATAGCGTCTGGCACGGTATGCAAGAAGACGTCGGTTCGAATCCGACCGGATCGAAGGAATTTTTTCTGAGTGTTCGATCTTTGTATTAATAATTATTATATTACGTATTCTATTTCTCGAAATAATAGTAAGATATTTATTCAGTCTCACCAAAGACAGTTTTTTTATAAAATCATGAGACGGGACGAATAAGTCCTGTGCCTGGTGGTAAACTACAGGCCTATCCAGTTACAGTGCCACTCAGAGCTTTAAATCGCAAAGATCTTAGGGGCAGAGCCACTGCGTTCGTCACCCTGAGACATAAGTTGACAAGCTGTGTGCATATAAATTCACCACCACACTTCAAATCCGGAACGCAGTAATAGTGTCATTACTGCTTGGCGGCAGAAATAGATATCTTCGTGAATAGAGCTCCTCGTGATAAGAGTTCATCCAGGAAAGTACTGCCTTACTTATTTCTGCCGCCCAGCAGTAATGCGATTCGGTTTTGAAGGGTAAGGGTGCTGGTGAAATTACAGGCACATGGGTCTTGTCAACTTGTCCGAGAGTGACGGGCGTAGTGCCAGTGCCCCCTCAGATTTTTTGCGATTTAAAGCTCTGAGTGGCACTGTAACTGTTATGGACAGGCGTGTAGTTTACCATCAGGCGCAGGACTTGTTTGTCCCGTCACATGATTTTATAAAGAAAATGTCACTAAAATGAACGGCGATAAAAAATAATACCTACATATAAATGAAGTCATAAAGTTTTATATTAAACGTTTATTTTATAGTCGTAATAATAAAAAAAAACTATTTCACATAATACTGAGTAAAATCTATAATACTTAGTAGTAGAAAAATTTGTCGTCCTTCGGGACAAGTTAAGGCCTTTGGCCATACTGATAGATTTTACATTGTAATTTTTGTTAAATAGGAAGTTTAATTTTTTGACGCGGGAAATCGGTATGTCTTCACAGTGGCTATTTTGAAAAATATTAGGTTTGCATAAAATATAAATGAAATATCTTTATTTTTGGTGATAAGAATAATTTTCTTTAGACACTGTTTCAATTTAGGGATATAGAGCCGGGGGGTACAGCGTTAAAACGTTCGTTCAACAAAAGTTATGAAAGCCGAAGGAAGACCGCATTAAAATGCCAAGATAAAATAATAATATATTTCAGACTGTTTGGTACCATTTACACCCGCTTCTTTCTTCCCAAATTCAAATATTCTATAAAATATATTTCGACATTTCGCAACTTTGGCATCTAGATATTTATCAATATTTATATGCGTGAAATGTAACCGAATGTTTTACGTTCCATTTGACTATTTTCTTTTGTCTCATGTTAATTAATGAAGCGTATGGACCCCATAATTCCGAGTAAATTCTCTGGTATTTAAATGAAAAATATTATTTATTTAAGTTCGTTTTAAAAAAACGTTCCGGTATTTTCCGCTCACAGATCGCAATCTGTAGATAATTGTAGACTAATTTTGTACTTTGTATGAAAACATGACGTTCATGCAAAAAGTTCCTAGTTTTTCTTTGTGGTTTTCATTCATAAATGTTGTTTTATAACTTCATTGTCAATGCTTCATTGGCTATATTTAACAATCGTGATACTATAGATCGGGAGTTACACTTCTGTTAAGTTGGTCTACCACGAAATGTATTATAAATCCCCGGTATTAAATTTCACGGAACTAGATGCTAACATATTTATAACTAGATGCTATATTGATTGTACCTGTTTAGAATTCAGACGTATTTAATTCATTTCAATTTGATTCATTCTAAACTTTAGCTCATCTTCTTATTCTTTGGCAAGAATTATAAATATCCAGAAGTCAAGTCATGTGTAGTCTAAAGTAAGTCTTTTCAAGATTTGGCAACCACTTTATCAAGATAATGTGATATAGTCCGTTGCAAAGGATCTCTATTCCGGCGCATTTCCGAAAATTCCGTGCAGCCCGACTATTCCTTCTATTACGCGAGCTAGGAAGCTGTCACAATGAGTATTTTTAGTCACTATTATATTTAGTTATTTACCTCGTATCGGGAACGGCTTTGTCATAATAGTTTCCGATGTTGGTGGTAGCCATCTCTGTGTCTCAGGAGACATAGCACTGGTGCACTGATTTAACTCATGTTTTTTAATATCACTGTAATTGTTGACGCCGCCGCGGAGGCGCAGCGACGGCGAACCATTAGGGACATCCATTTGCGCGCGCTGTCACGGCATGACTGACTGACTCAACGCAACCGACCAGGCTTGCCAGCCGAGTCAGCTGTTGTGAACGGATGAGATAAATGCATGATAATGTAACGATTCTAAAGTAATTCAACTTTCTTTGTTAAAGATAATGAGATATGTATCAATCTTTTGATTCCGAGTTTTCGGACTATTATGAAAGTTTATTGAGAAAATAATAAACTTGCAAAGGGTCATTTCATCATGTATTACAATTTCTATTTAATGGCTAATGCACGAGGTCGCATTTTATGGAAGCGCGGCAGACAGACGTTGGAATTTCGTAAACTCGTGATACATAGTCAGTACTTAAAACAATTTCACAAATTTTTAGTCTTTTTGCTACTGGTTCACTCTACAATGATTGCAGTCTTTAGTAGATATCAACTGACGTAATAAATGTATCTTCCCGATTACGGGTTGATAGATGAGTAGATGATGGTAGTTTAGTATGTGTACTATCGTTAGTCTTACACTGTACGAGATGTCACTGCGCAGTACAAGTGCAAGGCCAACGCGTGGTCCGGCGACACTCGCGTCACGTTACGGACTGGCTGCGGGATTCGGCAAACTGCCATCATCTAAACGTAAACATCGACATAATATTGTAGTCTAGTTCACACAAAACTGAGACTGCCAATAATACGCTATGGGAACATATTTTGGTGATCAGGGAATTTTCTAATCTGTAGTTTCCAGTATAGTTCGCAAAAGAGAGTCACTGTGTCACTGTACTTATCGACGCGGAATTGCATTAAACCAGAGTCAGTTATAGCGGAAGCGAAACTGCAACGTCTTTTTAACCGACGTCAAGAAAAGAGTAGGTTTCGACTGCATTTTTTTTGTATGTATTTTACGCGTTACTATTGGTGAATGGATTTCGATGATTCTTCTTTGTTGGAAAGAGAGTACCTCAGTATTGGTACCATTTAAATTTGAAGAAAATATTGCACCTCTAATGGTGGCGAATTAGGGGACGAATCCAGTTTCGCGCACTTTTCGGTAACCGATTTCGAGAAGTAATTGCTGGAACTTTCGAGATTTTTCGAGTTTTATCGCGCGCGTCGCGACTATCAAGCGTAGAAATGCTACGGGAGCTGGTATTTAAAAAAAATTTAGGTGAATATTTCCAAAGTTATCAAAATGCAAGTGCGTTAGTTATGACAACAATAACTACCCTATTGTTTGTATTAATGATTATCTATCTAATTATAATAAGAATGTACTGACACATTGTCCAGTTAGTGCAGTATGTAGAATTGTTGGTACCACTAAGCAAGTTTGGCTTGTTACGTACAACTGTTACAAGGGAAACCTCCACTGATGTTTACAAGAGATCGTAAAAGGTAGAGTATGTTACCTAAACTTCAAGTAATGTACCATAATTCGTATCTTTGGTATAATAGAGCCACCTGTGACACGACTGTGTCGCTTATCACTTGAATGTGATAAGCGACATGAAAGTATCAATTTTATAAATGTCGTATTTATACATAAATTAGATATTCCATATATAACACCCATTACTTCGACTAAAGGTTGGGTTTAGAAATTCTGCCGTCTAATTGAGTAATGCGAAAGACAGTCTTTCGACAAACAGATCCTGTCTCTCAGGTTCAGTTACTATTTAAACCTCTATTTCTACTAAACTCTGAGATGAAATCAAAGTCCAAAAATGTAAACAAAGGTGATGCCATTACAAAAAAAATATATCACGAATAGTGGAACAGTGACAAGGGCTAAAAATTAATGCAAGATGTTTTATATTGTTTTTAAATAATGTGCATGTAGAAACAAAATATTATAAAATCATAGTTTTTATTTAAAACACCATATTCAATAAGATAATCTCTAAAAACTGTTTCCTGTGGAAAGATTTTTTATCCTATTGGTAATGATTCGGGGATTAACAACCTTTGGCTGTACTTTTTGTTTATTCGATTTTTTATTTTTATTTGTTATATATAAACACAAATACTTTTAAGCAGGAGTGTGAATAATTTATTGCTATAATATTATTACCTTAATACTTTATTAGATTAAATATTTTTGTTAAGAATAGTAAAATTGAAATAATAAATTGGTTTATTACTAAATAATGTTAATTACAATAAATTTAAAAAATTTAAAGTCAGTTTTTGATCGATATGGATGGATAACGGGTCAGGTTGTTAGGTTGCATCCCCACTATGGAGGTAGAAAAAAAGACCACGCCCTGCAATGTCAGTAACCTAGAAGGTTATGGTAATGAATGTCTATGTCTGTCTAACACTGACTTACAAATAAATGGACGACGGGTCTAATACAAAAACCACGAAAAAAATGTCCCAAGTCAACCTATTTAAACGTAGTGTGACATGTAAAGAAATATGAAAAAGCTAAAACGTTGAATTTAAATTGTTATGTCATCGCAGTACTGTCTAATTTTGCTTGCGTCGCTGTCAGTCGAACAAACGAAGACTAAAGCGTGAATGACGCTCTGCATACGATTTTAACGCCCTATAAGTTCAGACACTTTTTAGCGCGGACCCGACGTCCATACATATAATTGTAAGTCAATGCTGTCTAAGCATGCATTTCGAACCTACCACTAAATGAATATTGGTATTTGTGCGAGTTTGCGAATAAAACTTCTGAGATTCTGGGGATGTCTGAAAGAACCGTTCGAAGAATAGTTTTCCTGAGTAACAACAAAAGTCAATATTTGACATGTTAACCACTGATATTGAAATCAAAACATAGTTTATGTTTCCAAAAAGAATATTCTAAGATGTTTCTTTTGCGTAATTTTCTATGCACCCTTCTCATTTCCTAGTAATTTTTTAATTAAAACTATTTTATGACACAAAATAATTGTAAACAGTTTTGTAAATTGGTCAACCCAAAGGGGTATTTTTCACTTGTAATCGTCGGTCGGTCGAAATACAGTGGAACCAGTTAAACGAACGCAGAAAAAAAGGTTTACGATCTACATTTTTGGACTTCGACTACATGTCAAAGTTTAATTGTTTGTCAAAGTAAAAATTTTAACTCACCATTTTATATAGATAGATAGACAACGTTTATTCAGCACAAACACAAACAGAAACAAAACCTCATAGAACATACATGATTAATTTAATACATATTTATATAAAACACATACTGTGATAAAAACAAGTACAGTGAGAGAAACACACAAATAGTGTGAGAATTAACAAAATTTTATTTTGTTAATTTTATTATTAATTTATTTACTACGGTTTGTGCTGAAATGGCCCTGACTCAGCTTAAATACTGTAGACCCTGAAACGTCATACGAGCTGGTTTTCCGCCAGTGATATAACAAGTAAGGAACCCATTTTGTCGTTTAATTCAGTATTTGTACTAATATTTATCAAACACTATAGTGTTGTCATTTAAACATTGTTTCTCTCGATTATTTGTTAAATTAAGGCAGCTTAACTATAAATACTACGATTTTTGTATAAATACTCAAGAACCGTAACGGATGTTACTTACGTTTTTGAAATGACCCATAAAAAGTTATCGACTAAATTTCTTTAGCAGAATTTCAGGAGAAAAATGGCCTTTATTAGGCCAAGGGTGCGTATTGTATTTTGTTTTTTTTTTAATGTAACTACTTTATTATGGTAGCGTATTTAGAAGAAAAAAAAATTGATAAAATCATCAGTAAAAGTAATCAGGTAATTATTTAGTTTTTTTGTATTTTTGCCATTTATTTTTTATCATTACAGGTTTTCAGATGGAGGTATTATCCACTCTATTACTTGAAGTTCAGGTAAATAACTTGCCTATTCCGATTTCTGAATAGATTACACAAAAGAATAAAAACAAAATTAGCACACGTTTATACGCTTGAATAGTGTCCAAACTACTGAGAATCGTTGGTCATTATTACTACAGTACCTAATGACCAATGTAATGACGAAATCATTGCTTTATCAATTCAAAAACTGGTCATTGTAAACAAAAGAGTCAAACCGCTGCAAAATGATTCATTTATTTGTTACTTCACATTATCTACGTACTTTGTAATACCTACTAAGCCTTGGTACGAAGAGGTCTCATCCCACCTTGAACCTATGCCTGCGTAGAAATGTTGCTTCGCTTAGCGCCCTTTATCAAATACTCAATGGCGAGCGCTCTGAAGGATTATTTATCCTTATCCCTCTCTCGCCTTTGCTGCTTCTAGTAGAAGTGACAGTAGAACCCTTTGTGAACGAGTACGTCCAGGGAAGTACTGCGGGCCGGTTTGGAAGGGTGAGAGGTGCTGGTGAAACTACAGGCACATGGAACTTGTTAAAAGGTTTGGTGGCACCTTACTCTGTCGCAGAGGCGACAAATGGAAGTCCCTTCCATGCGACTTGTAGGCGTGCAGGAGATGCCTAGGGCAGCCCCATACCTTTCTACATTAGTTTTGATTATAGTGGCCCTCCCTACCGATCCTTACGGTATACGAAAAGGACACCATAACCTGTGCGAGCACACGAACCTTATAAGTTCAGGTTCTGACCCCAGATCAGCCAGTGTACAGGGTTGTCACAGATTTCTGTCTTTTGACTTCATCCGGTTCTTCGAGAGGCTAGTGCCTCGGGTGAGCCGATCCTGGTGCACGTACAGTACCCTTCCTATTTTCCAGATAGGTACCGGAGCTGTAGGCAGTTTGTCCCTATCTACCGACCTGAGAGATAGGGTTTTCCGGAGAGACTACGGGCTCGACGTCAAGACCAGGGTACAGCGGGCGTCCGGGTCAAGCCCTCCGCCAGTGATACGCCTTTGCTTTGGCGGATCCGGACTTGGGTATGGACTCGCTGGGGTTTGTGGTTAGCTGCAGAGACGGACATGTTTGTCTGCCCCGATTGGGTGAAGCCGGGGTTTCTGTCTTGTGAGCAGCTAGCGCGTCTTAGTAGTGGTCTAGTTGAGAGCCTGAAGCGAGGAGACGCGCGGGGCACGTGAGTTGCCCTTTATGTTGGAAGTCCGG